CAGGGCAAAGAAGAATGAAGAAAACCAAAGATTCATGGAAACAATTAGTCCAAGTGACTGGTACACCGTGTAATCCTCAGCCTATATGACTATGGGACCGTAAGAACTATATGGTACCCAGCTTCCACTATCAACCACTCAGAGGGGGATCTGTGTAGGAGATCATGGATAGAGGGGAGAACAATGTGGAACAAAACTGAAAAACATAAAAAAAGGGGGGGACCTGGTTTGTTGGTCTGATAGAGCCTGATGGAACCACTGAGACTATGGCCCCTAGCTGCCCTTCAGGTCTGGACATGAACCCTGTCCTGAGGCTTCCAGCTAAACAAGAGACAGGCATATGAGGTGAACATTTATACTAGGTAGATACACTCCTTGGAGAAAACAATCATGGGAGAATAGAAGGGCTATGTATGCACAAGAAGACAGCTCAGGGGGCAGGAGTGTTGAAGGGAAGGACAGAGGGAAGAGGTAGCTATGGGGAGGAAGTGGGAAGGGAGCTGTCACATTGTTCCTTGTGGTAAATTATAATCAATGTCAAAGTGTATGTAAGCTGCTGTATGTAAAGTGGATTTGCTCTGAAAACTTTCACCCAAATCACAACTAAAAAGAAAAAAAGAATCTACCCTCTGAAGCCAGACTTCCTGTATTCAAACCCAAATCTACCATTTACAAACAGTAGACAAATTATTTAACTTCCCTGTGCCTCCATTTCCTGATCTGTGGAATGAGGGTAATAATAGTATCTTTCTCAAAGAATGCTGTGAAGATTAAATGAGTTAATGTAGGTAAAGCGAAGGGCAGTTCCTAACATAATATGTACTCTGTAAAATTAGCCATTATTATTTTACCAATTAACTGGGCGAAGAAAATTATGAAATCTTCAGTCCTACAGATGACACAAGGTAATAAAAGAACAACCAGAATACAATGAAAAGACAACAGATAAATCACAAGATATTGTGCATGTGTATGTGTGTATAAAGGAGCTGGTGGCTGTCTGGTGGCATAATGCTTAAGGCACTGTGACTGCTAACCAGAAGGCTGGCAGTTCAAACCCACCAGCCACTCTTTGGAAGGAAAGTTGGGCAATCTACTTCCATAGTGATACCGCCTGGGGAACCCAAGGAGTGGTCGCTATGAGTGGCAGTCGACTCGACAGGCAGTGAGTTTGGAGAGTTTGGTTAGTGGCGCAGTAGTTAAAGGGCTCAGGTCTTAATGGAAAAGTTAGCAGTTGGACTCCCGTCAGCCACTTTGCAGGAAAAGGATGTAAAGTCAGCTTCCATAAAAGATTTATAGCCTTGAAAACAGAGGCAGTTCCACTTTGTACTATCGGGTCATAATGAATCTGAATAGATACGACATCAGTGGGTATGGTTTGGTTTTGTTTATGTGTGTACAGATAGGTAACAGTAAAGTAGGAGATGAATTTTAAGGTGCATTAAAAGAAGAGAAAACAAATTTCATTTTTAAATTGATAGACTACAAGCAAATGGTTACAATCCAGGAAAGAACATCTGTCTTGGAAGAAGCACAGCCAGAATTGTCCTTATAAGTGAGGATAGAGAGACTTTGTCTCATGTACTTTAGACATTTCATAAGGAGAAATCAGTCACTGGAGAAGGACATCATACTTGGTAGAGGGTTAGCAAAAAGAGGAAGATCCTCAACAATATATGCTGACCCAATGGTTGCAACAATGGACTCAAACATCGCAATGATTGTTAGTATGGCACAGGACCAAGCAATGTTTCCTTCTATTGTATATAGATGTATCGTGAGTTGGAACTGACTCAGCAGCACCGAACAACGGATGACTTAGGTAAGACAATACAGCATGTGAATTGATGTTGTTGGGACCTGAACCTCTGTGTTAACTACAGAATCTGTGCTACATAATATTGCCTTTCATTTTAGACTCTTGTTCTAAGAAAGAGTGTGATATTAGATGTAAAAGGCTAATCTAAATGTTGGGCACCATCCACTTGAGGGGCTGGCAAACTATAACCGTGGAGTCAAATTCAGCCTGCCTGTTGTTTTTATAAAGTTTTATTGCATTGCAGCCATGCCTGTTTGTTTACATATTGTCTACAGCTATTATTGTATTACAACAATAGAGGTTAGTGCTTGCAGCAGAGAGCACATGTTTCACAAAACTGAAATTATTTATGATCTGGCTCTTTATAGAAAAATTTTGCAAAAATCTGATTTATTTGACTACCAATAAAGCAGAAAACACTGTCCAACAAAGCATGAGAGCAAAACTTGTACATTATAGGAAACTGAACACAAATTCTAAAGATGATTGCTAAGTGCAATCCTTAACCAAAGAGTCTAAATAAGGATGTAGAAAAGAGAAAAAGGGAGATATTAAATACAAATGGGTAAGGGAGCATAATATTAATAAGCATACCGATCATAGGGCAGGACAGCTTGAAAACAGTAGCATGGTTATTCTGAGAAACTAACTTATTTACATCATTATTTAAATGGCACTTTTCTTTGGGAACTGTAAAGTCAGGGTTAAAATAATTTTTATTTCTATACCTTTTATATAAAAATTCTTTCTGTTCAGAAAAGAATGTCACCCATTCTTCAGTGGGAAAAAAAATAGACCCACCACATGTATGGCTAATGTCCAGAAACACTCAAAGTGATGGATAATTCCTTTTTTAATGGTCCTTTCCTCTTATTCATTGGTATCATGGACTTTCAGTAATCATTTGGAAATTTTGTGTTTCAATCAAGCTGTTTAAATTATTCTTCTACAACCCATAAGCTGACCAAACACTCTCCTCATTGCCATCTTCATCTCTCTATTCCTCACTGTATAGATGACTGGATTCAGAAAAGGAGTCAAAACGGCATCAAATATAGCTAAAAATTTATCCATATGTGTTGAAGGAGAGGGCCATACATAGAAAAAAGTCAGTGGGCCAAAGAATAAAACCACAACAATAATATGGGCTGACAAAGTAGAAAGGGCTTTGGATGAACCACCTAAGGTGTGTTTCTGAAGAGTGGCCAAGATGAAGATGTAAGAAAGGATAAGCAAGAAGAAAGCACCCAAGGAAATGAACCCACTGTTAGCAGTGACCATGAATTCCAGTTCATAAGTATCCATGCAAGCAAGTTTGATGAGACGAGGTATGTCACAGTAAAAGCTGTCTAATACGTTAGGACCACAAAAGGGCAAATTTACAACAAAAGTCAGCTGGGACAATGAGTGAATGAGGCCAATGGTCCAGGAAAGCACTAAAATAAAGATGCATTTTCGTGGGTTCATGATGGTCAGGTAGTGGAGAGGCTTACATATGGCCACATATCTGTCAAAGGCCATGGCTATGAACAGCACCATCTCTGTGCCTCCAACAGCATGACTGAAGAAGATCTGAACTATACAGCCCCCAAAGGAAATGACTTTCCTCTTCCGAAAAAGATCACAAATCATCTTGGGTGCTGCAATTGAGCAAAATATTAGATCAATGACAGAAAGGTTGGCCAGCAGAATATACATGGGGGAGTGTAAGTAAGGGTCAGCAGTCACAGTGATCACTATGAGAAGGTTTCCCATCCCACTAAACACATAAAAAAGAGAAGAAAAGCAAAAAAGAAACAGCTTGATCTCCCGTGAATTGGAGAGTCCCAGGAGCACAAACTCAGACACTACTGAGTGGTTGGTTCTCTTAATTGGCTTATTTGGTAGGCTCACACTCATGTTACCTAAAGGAAAAAAAAAAAAAAAAAGATAGAATTCAAATTATTAATATTGATACCATCTATTAAAAGTATCTAAATTACGAATGTCAAATAACACCTGAGAATTTCACATAAATCAAATAATAGCCTTTTGGCCAGTAATGCTGTAGTTACACAAAACAGTAAATGAGCCCTCGCCAACTAACATGAGGAACAGTGTGTGGTCTACTGGACTGGTACCCATGGGTGCACTTGATAGAAAACCACAAACATATGGCATTTGATATTAAATTGCTATATCAGTATGACCCTGGAGGAGTAATAACTAATCATATATAATAGATAGACAAATAAGACTATTCTTAGGACAAAATGATTTGTAAGATTCAGTGACTCTGCTTTTATAACTTCAGTCAGAAATTATTTTCCTCTATTTTCACACTTCTCAAAATATTATTAATCATTTAATGTCCAGTTCAAGTGGCATCTTATCTGTCAAACCTTCTTTACAACCGAGATATACATCCACATTTATGTACTTTACTTAGAGTGGGTTACACGCCTTCCCTCTACATAATCATAAGTTGCTCAAAACTATAAATCATATGACCTTGAACTTTTATCCCCATAGTTTGCCCACAGTGTCTTGCAAATATTATATGGTTATATAATGATTGCTGAATGAATGAATGATTATGTTGAAGTAGTTCCTATACATAATTCATTTCATTCAACAAATATTTATCAAGTACCTGCTCTGTGCCAGAAACTAGTTTAAGCACTGGGAACACAACCAAGGACAAAATAGGCAAAAAATCTCTATCTTCATGGATTTACATGTAGGCCAAGAAAGATAGACAATTTAAATAAGAAGATGTATAGTATGTCATATGATGATTCTACAATGCAGAACAATTAAGTAAGGAAGGGGAAAAGGGTGGTATGGAAAATACTTTAAATAGGATTGACAGGGAAGTTCTGCTGATAAGGTCACTGGGCAGAAATATAAAGAAGATGAATGAGCAAGCCAAGGAAATATTTGGGGGAAGAGTATTCCAGGCAGAGAGAATAGCAAGAGGTGTGAAATTACTGGGTATGTTCAAAGAACTGCAAAGAGAGGCTGAACTTAATTATGGAAGATCATGTAGGAGAGATGTCATAAATACAGATTATGTACAGCTTAATAGGCTATTATAAAGACTTTGGTTATTACTATAAACTAGATAAAAAGTAACTGGATTTTGAACATGAGTGATAAATCTGGCTTACATTATTAAAGAATCACTTGGGCTGATGCATTATAAATATACCTCAGGGTCTGAAGGATAAAATCAGGGAGATTGGTTAGAAGCTATCACAAAAATCCAAAAAGAGGTAACAGTGACTTAGATTAGGGTAGAAGAAATAGACATCATAAGAGGCATTTAGATTCTGAATGCATATAGATAACATATAGTGTAATTTCTAGAGCTGTAGGTGACCCTGAAGTTATGGAATTACTACAACTCATTGAAGAATTTTCATATAAAAATAAGCAAAAAGAAATATCTACAAAATTATGAAAGGTATAGATAGAGTAAATATACATTTAGTCACCAAATCTTATAAGGACTTTAGAATAAGGACATATTTCAAGCTTTAAGAAAGGAATCTCTGTCAAGTAGGAAGAAATAACCCCTCACATAGCATGTGAAACTCAATACCACAAGTCAATGGTATAGACTGAAAATGTTGTTTTAACCAAGAAGACATTTTTAAGTAAAAGAAAACAAAATTTCTCTATTTACTATATCATATTCTAAATGAGAATTTAAATTGCCCAATTTTCTTTTTAAACGAATTATTTCAGTTCCAATCACACTGAGCTCTTTAAACTTGTTTTCCTAAGTAAGATTATTTCTGAAAGCAAGAAAGCAAGAAAAATCTTTGACTTGGTCACTTAAATTTCAAATTATCAGGACTTTTTAAAAGTTAACTCATAGACTTTCATACAGTATGACCAAATCATCAACATGAAAGATGTCCAAAAATAAAAAGCAAAATATTAGAGCAACATGAAGACTTGTTTCTACCTCTAGCCATAAAAATCTCATGTCAGTATAGTTACAGTATATGTATCCTGAAGACAAAATATGTCTCCTTGCTATGGCTGAGTACACTGGCCACCTTACCAAGGGTACCCTAGACTACATTTGAAAGATTTGGATGTAGTTCATAAACAGTACATTAGCCAATTCCTTTACAATGAATGGTAAATGGTACAAGGAAAGCATTTTCTTTCTGTGTTATGTGTATTGACCCTGCCAAAACATCTAGAACTGTGATGAGAGTCTGTGTGCACTCAATTGAAGAGCCCAAACATGAACACTGGAACGAAGACTTGCAGCCAAGTATCAATTGTGCCTCTATTTAAGAAATTTACTGTGTATCTCTAAAGAGGTAGGCAGAGAAGTTTATCCTCTCTAACCTGTCTTTATAAATATATACCAAACCAAACCTACTACCATTGAGTTAATTTTGACTCATAGAGACCCTATAGGACAGACTAGAGCTGCCCCATAAGGTTTTTCAGAGGCTATAAATCTTTACAAAAGGACAATGCATGAGCATTCTCATTATTACCCTTTTGGTTCCATTTTCATTCAGTGAGTTTTTTTTTTTTTTTGCTTATATTTATATGTGGAGCTGCTGGTGGGTTCAAATCACTGCCAACTCTTGGCTGGCAGCCAAAAGCCTTAACCACTGCACCACCAGAACCTCTTCCAAACCCACTTCCATCAAGTTGATTCTGACTCATAGCAACCACCTTTGGGTTTCCAAGGCTGTAAATCTTTACTGAAGCAGACTACCTCATCTTTCTTCTGTAGAGTAGCTGGTGGGTTAAAACTTCTGGTTAGCAGTCAAATACCTTAACCACTACATCACCAGAGCTTCATTAGAGGTATATAGCCAGGGTGAATTACACAGTGGGAAATATTCAGCTTTCTGTAAATAAAGAATAATAATTATCAACACTTTGATAAAACAACTTAGCTGATTATTAAAACCTGCTAATGATCAGAAACCTCACCAAAAAAGGAAATAGCAGGTTCTTCGCATTTCCACAGATGGCCAATAGGTAAAGCATTCCTACACTGAAAGTTTAAGGACAAAATGAGGGGGAAGGAAAACATTTGAAGTAATATCCAAGTAATTTCATGAATGCTACAATTAAAATGCATAGTCAAGAGACTTCATCAACAACACTAAAAAACTAAAGTAAGATATGCTTCAATCTAGAATTTAAGAGAAAACAACACTGGAGGGCCAAAAAATGAAATGATACAAGCAAAGGAAATGTAACAGTAAGAGACCTATTATTATCTGCTTCATGAGCAAATCAGTACTACATCTCATTCTCAGACTTAATGGACATGGTTTATTTTAACTACTGCCAACTTTTGTGAAATATAATAAACCAAATTATCTCTACTGAAAATATTTATAATATAGAAATAACATAACCTCAATTAAACATTTTGTTTAAAAAAACAAAACAGAGTTTTAGGAAAACAGAAAAGAAAAATCAAATTTACTGAGTTGATTACAAATTCCAGTTCTTCCCAACCTGTTCTATTCTCTCACTCATTTTCATTGGTTTAATATTTCAACAGGGAACTGCCAGAAATTCAAGTCAGATTCAGAAGAAGATATAGAATGAGGGCCATAATTGCTGACATCAGATGGATCTTGGCTGAAGGCAGAGATTACAAGAAAGTTCTTTATCTGTGTCATATTGACTAGACAAAAGCATTCAACTCTGTGGACCATAATAAATTATGGATAACATTGCAAAGAATTGGAATTTCATGACACTTAATTGTGCTCTTGTAGAATCTGTACATAGAAAAAGAGGCAGTCATTTGAACAGAACAAGGGGATATTGTGTGGTTGAAAATCAGGAAGATGTGTATGAAGGTTGTATCCTTTCATCATACCTATTCAATCTGTATGCTAAGCAAATAATCCAAGAACCTGGACTATATGAAGAAAAACATGGCATTGTAACAACCTGTGATATGCTTGCTGGAAGGAAA